AAAAAAAAACAAAACAACCAACAAATAAACCCATAATCTACTATTTCTTCACTTCAGCACACAGTCCAGCGTAACGACGATATCAAATATCAGCCTATGCATCTGCATAGTTCCAATTTTCACAAAGTACACGGGAAAAGTTAGCAAATCTTAATAATGATAAATTATTGTAAATATTTATCATGATCTTTTTTAAAAGTTTAAAATGCCAACTGATCAACTGGCCCCATACACACTCCAAAATGCAAAATAAATGTTAATGCATCCTAGAATGCTTTTTGTCAGCTTTTCAACTGTAATATATAATCAACCTATATTGTATGACTCTATTTTCATGACTGGTAGGAACAGTTACGAATACCGCTATCACATCCTTAGACTTGACCTCAAATGATGAAGGTTCAGTCAGCTGTGCTCTCAGCTTCATAGAGACTGTGTTTGGCCCTGTCACCTAGAGTCTGCATCACATTAGCACTCCTTTTAGGCAGGCTTAAATTAGTTTTTCAAATCAATTATTTTGCATTAGTAATTGAAAAGTTTTCTGTAAAAAGTTTGTGAAGAAATTTGGGATCTCTTAGTTCACAGTTCTACACAAACATAAAATAGTTTATGACTACTGTGAAGTAAAAGTGACACCCCCATATTTTTCCCCATTCTTTGCCTCAGTCTGGTCACCTTCAAGTAATGTTAAAGTGCTAAAAGACTGACACACAAACTGGGGTTTTCTACTGTTTCAGTCTTTCAAGGAATATTCCACTTTCTTGTCCTCTCCCAGTCCTGTCCCTCTCCCCTTCCAGTTTACCATACAGATCAAAAGTCCACCTCCTACAATCTCCTCAGAAGTTCAAAGTTCTCATGGTACCGCTGAGCTCCCAGAGAGCCAGACCCATCCTTTCTTCATAGGTGGGTTAATCTGGATGAGTTTTGCTTTTTTTTTTTTCTTGGGGGGGCGGGGTGGGGGGTGGGGGGTGGTTCTTTTGTGTGATTCTTTTTCTTGTTGGGGTGGTTTTATTTCGGTTGTTTTGTTGTTTTTTTTTTAATTCATCTGTCCTTTCTGTCCCTTGTTTACCTTTCTTACAAGAACAAAAACAGAAGCAATGAAAAAAAAATTAAGTAAGGGTTTTTCAGCCTTTGATCTGTAACAAAAATAAGGGCTAGCCAGCAGGAACATTTCTTAGTTATTCTGTAAACATTTGATTGATTCATCCTTCTTCTGACTCATATAATTAACACAATAGAAGTAGGTTCTGAAAAACAGAACAATCTTAAATATGAGATGCTCTTTTTTTCTGTCTCTTTCTGTACAATCCTTAATCTGTTTGGCTATGTTGTTCAACAAAAGAAAGAAAGAAAAAAAGAAAAAAAGCGCCTTAGACTTTTCTGCTAGAGCAGCAGATATCATTAAAGATAGGCTGATACTGATTTTGGTCTCAGCATATGAAAGCAAATTATACCCTTGGCTGAACTGTGCAGTGCAAAGACTATCCTTAAATATCAAAGAAATTACCATCTGTAGTGACCAAAGTTGCTTTCCCATCTTTTTTACAATTAAGAGGGAGCTAAAAATGTAGACTTACTGTTTCTTTTGCAGAAAAGAATCACAGAGGAGTAATCTAAGAATGAGAATCATCTGCCCTTACTAATACCTGAAAACTATTTCCATTCAGCAGGGGAGTGGGGGGTGGAGATAGTGAACAGGGAAGGATAATAATAAAAAATAATAATTGAACAGATTGCAAAAGGCCATCTTATCCTGTAAACTGCAGATGCTGTTTACGGTGGTGTCCCACAAATCAGAACAGACAATTTCATTCTCCAGACCCAAACAATTAATGGTATTTGGCCATGCTTGTAGCTCTATCTTCAAGATAAACAGATATAAAAGAAAGTCAAGAATTAAATGCCAAAACATGACAAGATGTTCTCAAATTCTGAGACAGACAACAATTCTGAGGCAGACAAAACCAAAACCAAAAAGATAATAACGCCCATTAGCATTATCAAACAACATAAGAACATAATGTACAGAACTCTGTGGATCTCAGTGTTACCTACACATAAGCAAAGATCAACAGCCTCTGGCTTGCAGACAGGAGCAGAATGTAGTCCAGTGGAAACCAAATTCTCATGCAAGTACTCAGGGGAAACTGGCTGTAACTTTCTCCTTTCCCTTCCTTGTACTCTCTAACCTCTTTCTGGAAAACTCAGAGAGGCTGCTCTTCCTCTCTTAGATGCTGGACAATCCTAAACCATTTCCTGATACCAAAACCTGCTCAGGTTACACAACTGCAAATTAAGACTATTTTAAAAATAATACTGAACCACCTTTTAAAGAGACAGTAAAGCCATGCAAGTAAAAACTGTTTCACCTCTTGACAAGACAGAATTCAAAGCACAGCTGAGGACAGTTCCCTTCCCGGTGTTTTACCTGGGAAATGCAAAAGTGTGTTTCCTCCAAGACCTACTAGTTAATCTAAAATCCCAAACTACTTGAACAAATGTATTTTAACCTGAAATAGTGTAAAGGGTTCTAACACTTCTCACTCTGCTGGATTACTTCCATTATTATAACTGCTTTAATATATGATCTAATTATCTTTTGTTGTGTTTGCTATACAGAAAGTGTTTGCTATATACTTACAAGAGAAAGTCTTCCCACAAACCTACTTGTTAAAAAGTTTAGCTTTTAGTGTACTGGAAGCCTAACAAAACAAGCCAATTGATTAAAAAAGATAAAATAAAAAAGATATGAGAGTTCTCTGTTGTGCACATTGTTACACCAGCTACTGCTAATAAATAATAATGCCATAGACTTCCACTAAAGATAAGTCATTTAAATATGCCTGATGTTTTTTCAGAAGTCTGCAAACAAGAGGTGAAACTATGTCTGGTTTTCTATTTGGATGCTGCTGTCCAAATGCAGATTCCTGAACTGTTCTGTCAGGATTTCAGCCCATCAGACCTCACAGGGACATGCACACACACATCTGCATATTGAGTCTTGCAATGTCAACACTGATGAGTTTAGAAGGAAGCCTCATTTAACCATTACTGATTCAGAAGACCAAAGTAAAAAAGAGAATGGGAAATAACATAAGCATGCCAGATCCTCAAGCCTAAAATTACATTTTATTTTTATCTACATAAAACCAAACCAAATCGAAGAGGCTTAGCGTTGCAATTCATTTCCTTGTTTAAAAAGGAAGGTTTCACTTGGTGACAATTTGCTACATCTGATGCTCTAGTAAAATCAGGGTTTAAATAACTTTCTAGCAAGGACATCTTCATTGAGGGTTGCCTACACAGGCTTTTCAAGTGCAGTTTGTAGTGACAGGAATTCAGTTGTTCCCCAATTACCTTTTTTCACCCCAGCATCTTCTCGTTATGCTATACACTGAGGAACATTACACACTGTGAGTGTGATAGCCTCCTAAACAGAACCCAGCTACAACATCAATAGGCCTTTTTAACTATGGCAGTATTTTAGTGTCATAGTCAAGGAACTAAAGACACTTCACAGGAACTGACTTGCCGAGTCATACAAGACACCCATACACAGGCTAATATGCCACAGAAAGGTTGAGTTACAGAAGAGTAAAGAGAACCTTTGACGCAAAATTAAAGTTAAGAGACTAGAGATTTCAGGAATAAATACTACTGGGTGCCCCTGTCATACCACAAAAATAGCTGGAGGGGGCAGAAGAGCGTGAAAGGGGGAGCTCAATTTAGAGATCATTCTGGTAGAAGAGGAGGGACAGCTGGGCCAGAGATCATGACAACCTTCAGGCATGGGTCTTCACATACACAGATTTCCTATAATGCATGGATTTCATATGTACATTACCCTTCACCACATACTAATTTTCAAGAGACTTGGTTACATTATAATTGGATGGCAATAAGGGAATGTGATGTTTATGTTGTCGCTGGCCTGGTCTCAAGTGCGTGATTTATCAGACTGTACCATCTCTCATATATAATCAAGTGAAATCACGCTATTGCTTGTTAAGCACGTACCAAGATAACCAATGCACCAACACACTGTGTTCTGGCAATGAAATTCCTGGACAGCAAGCTCTGCAGGTCAAGGAACAAAGACTTCTTGACGGTAAGGTCCCCTTAGGATAGAGACACTTCAGAAAAGAGAACAGTGGCATGTGTAAAGGTTCACCCCAAAGCACACCAATGTTTTCTCACCATCAGCTAGACCTTGGCAAGCAACTCTGAATTCAGCACATGCCAGCCCTGAAGGCCAAGATCCAATTATACACTCAAGCCCCTGAACATGTCAGTTAATTTCTCTGCTCTAGCCTTATACAGCCATTAAGTGGTACCTACACTCTACTCCAGCTTCCCCAGATCCTTAGAAATTGAGGGGTGGGAACTTACCCAGCTCCACCGCCAAAGACTCTTCTTAACTCTCATCCCAGCATCACAAGGACCTCATTCCAGCAAGCCGAGCTCCCTGTCCCCAGCGCAGGGCACCCAAACCCAACCTGTTACCAGAAGGTGGCCCGCTGTCGCCCTCAAGCCGCAGCGCCCGCTCGACACCGGAGCACATGCCCGGCGGCACACACAGGCTCCCGCACCGGCAGCGCCCCCAGTCCCCCTCTCTTTAAACCGGCTCGCCGTACCACCGCCACAAGCCAGCAGGGATAAGACATGACGTTAGCGGGAGCCGCCGGCCGGGGCCGTGCGGCGCGCAGCCGGTACGAGGCTCGGCCGCCAGGGCCCCGTCTCGCCCGAGTGCGCGGAGACCGTGTCGGTCACTTGACCCCGGCTCCTCCCGCCCCAGCCCCGCGCTCCGGTGCTCGGAAGCGCACCCGTGCGGGCTGCTCCCGGCCGTGCCCTGACCTTACCCCACTTGGCAAGGGGCGCCCACCCCCTGCGCCGGGCAGCCCTGCCGTCACACCTGCCCGACTCCCCTCGCCGCCCCGCGGAGGGGAAACAGCAGAGGGAGGAAGGGGCGCACGGCGGTCGGCCCGTCCGCGCCCGCTCACCTGCAGGGGGAAGGTGGCCGCCTTGTTGCCCACGTAGCCGCGGACGACGTGGCTTTGGATGGAGAGCACCCGGCACTCACGCTCCAGCTCCATGACTGCACCCGCAGCGGGCCGAGCTCGGCGGCGCCGGGAGCAAGGAGCAGGAGGCGGAGCGCGGAGGGCGTCACGCGCACGCCCTGCCCTCCCCTCCCCTCCCCGCCTGTCACACACACAGAACACTCCCCGCCGCGGGCTCAGAGAACGTCCGGCGATGGGCGCGGACACCTAATGGCCGCCTCCGAGTCTCGCTGCTCAGGGGGAGGCAGCCGCCGCGGTGCCGCAGGGGGGCGAGGCACGGAGCCCCAGCGGCGCTCTCGCTGCAGGTCCCGCCGCGGCTGCCACACACGCGCACACAGTTCGTCACGCACCTCAACGGCCGCCCCCCCCGCCCTCGGCGGTGACAGGCGCCATCCCGCACGCATGGCTAACGCCTCATGCTGCCCGTCCCTCTGAGGCGAGCAGGGTGCCGCCTCCCCCTCGCCCACCGTCGGCAGCGGTAGGGCTGTGCCCCTCACCTCGGTGCCGGTGATGCGCGGAGTTTCCCGGTATCTCCGGTGCACCCATCCGGCACTGCAGTGAGGCGCTCGCCAACCCCACAGAGGCACTGCTGCAATGTCACCCAGACCTCCCCAGCGCAGAGACCCCGGGGCTATGGGTACCACAGACACTTTCTAGAGGCTTCGTGTCTCCACCCAAGCACCATGCAGGACACCCGTGGCCCACACATGTGGACACCCTTCTTCCAGTCCTGCATGTTGTGCTGGGCTCTGTCCTGCCCTCGCTGCGCAGCACCACGGCACCAGGTACCCTGAGCACGTTTCCAGTGCCCATAGGTACATGCTGGTCAGTGCGCATCACATTGGCCATCCAGCCCTCTGCCACCCATCCTGTGCATTAACCATCATTTGCTGTCCACACTTCACTGTGGCAGTAGCCACCTACACCTTCCCCACAGGAACAGCAAAGTGCAGCACATACATCCCATCTGTACTTCCCCTTCTCAAGTGTTTAGAAAGTCCTGTGGAGCCATGGATGCCCCAAGCAGCCCCACACAGTGCCTTGCAGTGGCACAGCAACCCAGGCAGCGGGTGCCCTGGTAGAGCACCACCCTTGCAGCTGGGTTTTGAAGTGAGCACAATTGTGTGTTATTGACACAAAACACCGCCTTCAGAGGGCTGCCAAAGTGAAAGAAGATGTATGTGTTATTTGGCAAGTGCTACAATACATCAAGACTCTGCTGAGATAGGACTTCATAATGTGTTTGGGAATTTCATCTTCCTCTGGCCGTTTGTCATTACTGAACGTCACAGGTCCAGTCAAAGATCACAACAAGAAATAATGCCTGATGCCTATTGTTCTTCTTCATAGATAGCTTTAAACTGACTCTTGAATATTGTCATTATTTCTTAGCGACATGAAAGATCAATTTCCTCATCATAAGTAATCTTTCGGAAAATGAGGAAGTATACTGTCCTGTTTTCTGTTGTCACTCCAGCTGCAAGAAACAGGGCTTGTTCTAGGCTGGCCTTACTACTGTGAGTTTCATCACCTATAAATTCAGGTATTTTCTTGAACTGTAGAAACTGGCGCATCTCCGTGGAGTATAGAGCCACAACAATGAATGATCCGCACCATGTATGCTACAGCTCCAGCGTCTGAGAAAGCTGCTGGAGTTCTCCTTGTATGAAGGATAACCTCCTTCACACAAGGGGTTTATCTCAAGGGGACACAGGTCTGGATGGCAGGGTAAGCCTGTATCACTTACTACTTAGGTGGTTTACAGGCAATTATAGACAAAGTCTTCCAGAGTCTCTTGGAAGGAGCATTTCCTACCCCACTTTAAAGAGAGAAATGCAGCATCGGAGAGGATCAGATCCTGGTCCACAGTGTGCTGAATTGTAGAAAGGGGGCTGCTCTGCTGGTAATCAGGCCTTGTAGCTAAGTTAGTGAAGTTTGTGTAGCTGGACAAGCAAAAAGAAGCAGAAGAGCCTGTAGAAGTACATGGAGTGGGGAAGGGAGTGTATGCAATAAAGTAGATAGCTGTGGTTATCCTTGTTATGGGTGGAGAGCTTGGAAAAGGCTCTGAAGTGCATACATATGGGTGTTGCACAAAAAAATGGACAATATTAATTTAAACACTGTTGAACATGAGGGGAGATGAGGGGTGGCCATGAGAGGTGAAGGGTGATTGTGAGGGGAAATCATGAGGGGAGAGGAAGGACAGTGATGAGGGAAGATCATGAGTGGAGAGGAAGGGCAGCTGTGAGGGAAGATCATAAGGGGAAATGAGGGGCAGCCAAGAGGAAAGGTCATGAGGGGAGAGGAGGGCTGGCCATGAGGAGCGATCATGAGGGGAGAAAAGAGGTGGCCATGAAGGAGATCATGAGGGGAGAGGAAGGGCAGCCATAAGGGAAGATCATGAGGGGAAATGAGGGGCAGCCACAAGGGAAGATCATGAGAGGAGAGGAGGGGCAGCCATGAGGGGAGATCATGAGGGCAGGGGAGGGGAGGCCATGAGAGGAGATTCTGAGGGGAGAGGAGGGATTGCCATGAAGGGAGATCATGAGGGGAGATGGTGTTGGGAAAGAAAGGGCAGCCATGAGGGGAGACCATAAGGGGAGAGGAAGGACGGCCATCAGGGGTGAGGGGCCATCGTGAGGGCAGATCATGAGGGGAGATGTTTGGCCATGAGGGAAAATGGTGACAGAAAAGAGGGGCAGTCATAAGGAGAGATCATGAGGGGAGAGCATGGGCATCCATGGGATGTGAAGGGTGGCCATGGGGGGTGGGGGGACATTCATGAGGGAAGATCATGAGGGGAGATCATGAGGGGAGAGCAGGGGCAGCCATGGGGTGTGAGGGGCAGCTGTGGAGGGTAGAGGTGGCAGCTATACAATGTGGGCCACTATGGGGGGCAGATGAGGGGTGGCTGTGAGTAGAGGTCATCAGGGTCAGGCATAAGGGGAGATCTTGATGGGAGATCAGTTTGCCCTTAGTGACATGGTTTAGTGGTGGGCTTGGCTGTCCTGTGATAACAGTTGGACTCAATGATCTTAAAGGTCTTTTTCAACCTAGCTGATTCTATGATTTACAGCTGTTAGACCTCAAAACTGCCCAAGCATGTCTGACAATCTCAATGGAGCAAGTTCTTCCCCCAAGAAGGAAAGCACACCTCATACATTTAGTAATGCCTGCCCTTTGGTTTTCTACAACCACTACTCCTGCACCTAGTAGACCACATCGGCAAAGCAAGGATAGGCTCAAGGAGGTTTCACATTGCAGAGCACAGCTGATACCAGACTGTTCCTATACCTGACTGAGGGAACTACAGCTTAGGTAGGAATCATAGAATCATAGAACCATTTAGGTTGAACTCAATGATCTTGAGTCCAGCTGTTTATCTAGCACTGCCAAGTCCGCCACTAAACCAAGTCTCGTAAGGACCACAAGTCTTTTAAATAACTCCAGGGATGATGACTCAAGCACTTCCCTGGGTAGCCTGTTCCAATGTTTGACAACCCTTCTGGTAAATATATGTTTCCTAATATCCAGTCTTAAACCTCTTCTGGTACAACTTGAAACTGGTTCCTCTTGTCCTATTGCTTGTTACCTGTGAGAAGAGACCAGCACCCACCTCAGTACAACCTCCTTTCAGGTAGTTGTAGTTGCAGAGGTCTGTGAGAGCGACAGTGCTGAGGCCATTTGCAGGAAGGCAGGGAGGGTGCAAATGCATCGCTCTGCCTGTCCCTGCAGGTGCTGGAAGTGAAAGAGTGTTACAGAACACATGCTGCTTCTCCAAGCAAATGGAGAAACCCATTCTATGCAGGATTGCTACCTTCTACCTAATATTCTGAAAGGTCCAACAAAGGCAAGTACTGCTAGCAATCTTAATGCTTACCCAAGAGGAACACCTGAAACCTCCCTTTATACTCCAAGCTGTAAAAACTGCAGTCTTTTTCACGGATTAAGGAGTAGAACCTGCATACACAGCCAAATGTAAACAAGGGGGTGACTCAACAGTATTGAGCTCCAACATTTCTCAGAATATGGGGAAGCATACATGTCTATACATTAAAAAGTTGCCACAAGGAAAACAAACACTAGAAAACAGTTCTCCTTCCCTTCCAGAAAACAGCTCATCTAAATGTGAACATCAGTTTCTGAGTGGTGTTTTTTTACAGACTTTGCCCAATTTATTCTTTAAGAAGTCAGGCCCCTGCCTCATAAAAAACAGTTTGTGTCTCATAAAGAAGTGAAACTAGACTTCAGCTCCAGTCATCATGCATTCTGTTATGCTATCCTTCTCAAGCCTATTCTGTTTGGAAAAAAAAAAACACAGAACAAAAACTTTACTAGGTTACTAGGACTATTCAAAGAGCAAATAACCATTCAGTGTGTGACAGAGGGCTTCATGAGGAAAAAAGAAAAATGTTTCTTCCACAAATGCAACTCGTTCCTCATATGCTCTCCTTCTACATCTCCCTAAATCCTTCTCACATCTCCCCCACTTCTTTGCTCAGCCTGTCATTGCACCCAAAAGCAATACATGTCGTGGCAGACCGGAGGCATTAATACACATGACAGTTAGCCAGCCAGCAATTCAGGGGATACCTTCTTGCTCCTGAGCAGACAGGGTAAACATCTTTATGGTCCATTTGTTGCCTGGACTGCCTGCCTTCCAAGGTCTATGTTGTTACCCTTTGGAATTTCAGCTCACTATGCATGAAGAAATCATGAGATTACAGTGAATAACAAGCTTAACATGGGTCAACAATGTCACAATATTGCAATAAAGGTAATCTCCCTTTGGACTTCATAGGCAACAATATAGTCTGCAAGGCATATGAAGTAATCCTTGCAGCGTATTCATCACTGGTAGGGTCTTTGGCAGTACTGCCAATTTTTTGGAATGGCATTTTATTTGAAATGAAACAATGGAACAGTGTGAGAGGCTGTAAGGAGGATTCAAAGCTCAGGACACACAACTAAGGAGGAAATGGTTTCTTTAGCTTAATGAAAGCTCTACTCTAAGAAGAGCCTACAAATACATATAACACAGAGCTATGAAGGAGCAGAAGGGAATAAACTAGTGTCCATAATGAAGAGTTTACCTCCATTATGCAAAGGATTATGGAAACACAGGAAGAGGCTGCTTTGGAAGATTGATGAGTTATCTTCAGTTTCTTTGTTTTTCATAACTAGTGGAAGAAATATTTTTTATAAATATTAATATCTATATTTAAGTTTGTCTTGGAACAGGGGACAGACTGCATTAACTACCAATATCTCCTGAAGTTCAGATTT